TTCCATAAATATTAACCAGTATTTACCGAAAACTATAGGTATCACCCGAAACTTTAACTTAATTTAGAAGACCAAATAAATAATTTTTGTCGGTTTTTCTGGTCGCTCTAGAGAACGCAAATATGACCCGAACATCGCGAAATTTTACATGGAGAAGAGGATTAGGCAGAAAATTATGGAAAATTATCCCTTTGCAATTTTCCATGAAGTTCAATAATGGTTAAAGACGACTAAAATTTTCGATTATGATCAGAATAAAATTTTGAGATGAAGTGGACCGAAAATCTAATTTTTTTGTGTGTTTTGTAGTCGAATATAGGCGGACATCACAACACAAACAACTGTGAAGGGAATCGGAATAAACGTCCGAGATCCGTCCGACTATACTGCTTTAATTGTAAAAAGCACACTCTTATAATAGTCCCATAAAAATGCTTAAACAAATCAGAACTATTTTTAACCAGTGTGCGGAGCAGTATAGTCGGACGGGGCCGATCACATGAGACCCTTTTGCCCATGAAAAGGCAAAATATCAAATTACAGTTAATCCCGTTGAAAACCATGCCTGAAGTCCCCAAAATACAGAATAATGGACCAATATTGATCATTTTTGGTAAGGAGGATCTCTTTCCGATGAGAATCCAAAATATCAAATTAGAGCCAATGCGGTTGTTAACGTGTCCAGAAATAAAATCTGGGTGGTACAGTTATATGGGAACTATCATAAAAAATAGACCAATATTGATAATTTTTGGTAGGGAGAATCCAATGAGAAAATGTCAAATTTAAAGTTGAATAGGTTGAAAATGTAAAAATACCGAAAATTGGGAGGTTCTATTTTATAGGGGCTATTCCAAAATGTTGACCAATAAATCCCATTTTAAATGCGAAATATTCTAGGAGTAGCACCTATTGTGATTTCAACAGACAGACGGATATGGCTAAATATCTCGGGTGAATATTTCGAGATGTTGTAAACGAAATGACATATTTAATACACACTGCGCCTAATGGTATAGAAATCACGACAGTTGCTCGGATATTCATTCCAAGTAGATGGTATATTTAAGTGAGGATCTAGAATATGGCCGCATTTCCCAATGTTGTGTGGAATACCATTGTATTTTAGCTCAATTTTATGGATTCTTCTTTTTATTTACTCCTAATATAGGGTCTTCCAATATGGGCTTGACAACTAAATCTAGAAACTGATTTATTTCTTGAGTCAGATCAGATTTTGAAAGGGGGATACACCAAGATTCTTATTGCCAATTCTTGAGATCTCCGTGGAATAGACTGATGTGGATCGTTCGGACACTACGGACGCCTGAACGGCAGTTACAAACCTTTAGACTTACTGGCACGCCAACTTAATTTTTCCTGTCTACTGGGGTGAAAAGTGTGATCAAAAATTTGACTTAACATTCTTCGATAACTGACTCCGAAATATTCGTCATAGAGTATAAAGTATTTAGATGTCAATATATATAGATTTCATTTTGCAAAATTAGATTAATTTCATTAATTTTTACTAAATTCACCATAGAAATTGTATTCAATAATTTTTGTTATAAATAATAATAATAATACACCAACTTAGATGTGTAAATAATGTCCCGGTATTCCCAGAAACAAATTATGATCTTTAATTCCAATTTGTAATATGTTTATTTATCCAATTTATTTGCTCTTATTATGCCTACGTTACTAATGCATTTAAATGGAAATAAAAATTGATCAATAAATTATTATGAATTATATATTTTGTGAAATTTGTAATTTAAAAATTATGTACACGTGTACATCACCCATTCCACCATCACAACGACAATAACTTCAATTTTTTTTTTCTAAACAAATCCAAAGGAAAACTTTGTTTTTTGGCAACATACAAAAATACCCTCCCTCATACACACACACACCCTCCCACAAAAAACATGTATGTAGCTCACATCAAATAACTTTATGACATTGCTGCGAGGTGGGGGAATTGTTCTACATTTGCCTTCTATGTAAAGTTATGCGCACAAAATTCAAAAAGAGAAAAATTCTAAAATTCAAAAAGAATAAAAAAATCTACCTAAGAAAAAGAAGGAAAAAACTCTACGCCCACCTTTATAACAAGGAGTCCCCACCAACCACAAGAAGTGAGAAAACCCCCACTATAAATTCTAAAGCAACTGCCATAAGGAAGAGACAATTCTAAAGTCATTGCAAAGTAGTTTGGATGTATGTATGAATAAATGTGTGTGTGTGGTATGAGGAACAGATAACATTTGATCCAATCATAACGTTAGAATATGCACACAAATCTTCATACATAAACAACAACAAGAAGAAAAGCAGAAGCACCAACAACAACAACACCGAGCGAGTAAAAAGGGCCCAGAGAAAAAAAAAATAAACATAAATGTATATAACGTATAATATTTAAAATATGACAGAACTCATACTCCAAGATTTTTCACATCTGTGGCAGTGAAAACAGTTTTTTTTTTTGCCCAGTAGCAGTGGCAGCAGCACCAACAACAACAGCGAGTCTGAGTGCTAAGGCGCGCAAAGTGTATGCCAGCCTGCCTGCCTTTTGTAAAATGCCCCCCATTCATAGACGACAATGTCACACAAACCAACACACACACTCTTACATACGGAGCCTCACATACACTCAGCAGCAAATTCATATTCAATTCAAAAACCATTCACATTTACTACCATGCAAACAATATCTCCTCTCCATCCACATATGGGGAGAACGCAGAGCAGAGCATGACCCAACAACTGTGAGGCTTAAAAAACTGAAATGACAACAACAACAACAATGACTATGTTAGAGTAGTAAAAAACGGTATTAAAATTTAAATTTTAAGCCACACCTCCTCAATATAAGAAAGAATAAAAAATAACAACAAAGCAGCAGCAGCAGTAAAATAAAAACAACAACAACCCAACGAACACACATAGGCCATGGCTCCCCTTCTTTGGCGTTCAACCAGCCAGCCAACCAACCATACTCACACTCACAGCCACTCTCCCATCTCCCACAGCCACGTGAATATAACAACAACAACGTAAAAATGTAAAGTATAACTTTAACAACTCATAACGGTGATGATAGAGCAGGCAACAATAACAATGTAGCATGAAGCAGCAAGCAAGAACGACAACAACGTTAAGACATTTTAAAATACAGAGCCACACAGAGCAATCGTATACAAAGCAACAACAACAACGACTACAACTCGTACAGCTCGTTATATTCACTGTTGTGTTGTACTATGGCCTCTGTGTGTACAGAGCGCACACAGCACACACAAGAGAGCAAGAGCATAAGTGGCGCGGAGACAAACCAATGAGAACCGAGTTACTGTGTGTGTGTATGCTCGGCTCTGTTACTGAGGAATGGATTTCGTTCTGTTTATAGGAGAAAGAGTTCGTGTGTGTGTTGTGTGCTTGGCTCTGTTATTGACGAATGGATTTCGTTGGATTAATAGGAGAAAGAGAGAGCGTGTGTGTGCTTGGCTCTGTTATGAACGAATGGATTTTGTTTGTGCAGGAGAATTCATATTGGATAATAAAGAGTAGGGGAATTCTATACTCTGCTTAAATGAAGAGAGTACTGTTGTTTCATGAAATACGGTGTGTGCTGCTACGTAGTGTGAGGAATGTGGATGGTATTTCCCCTTGGTTAGAGTTGAGAGAATTCCAATTGGGGTTTTCTTGTTGAATGGTCGCTTTGCAGAGAAATGGAAGGGGATATTGACCATACTCTTCATTGTGGGCTTTGTTTCGTTTCTGTTGTATGCAAAAAACAACAGTCAAACGAATAAGAACCCCATTTAAATGAGTGATGTCTGTCGAATCATGTTCTTTGTTGTTGCGTTCATGAATGTGTGTATGTATGACGGTGTGTGTTTTTCGTCTTAACAAATATGAATGTTAACGGCTTGGACTAAGACGTAAAAACACCAATCAATAACAACTAAAATGAGAGCAAAACGTCGTCGTTATACTCTTGTCTTGTGCATGCATTGTTGTTTTTGCTGTTTGCCTTTTGCCAAAAGGAAATGTTAGTAAGGCAACGGTTGTGAGTATTGTTGAATTTCAGTTTGAAACATAACGTGCAACAAGATAAACGCATAACGCCGCTGTTAAGACAAATAATCGAGACGGAAGGCAAACAGAACAGAAAGAAAAACAAACAAGAAACAAAAAGACGTGAAAATTCGTTTTTCTTTTTTTTTTCGGGGGAAACAAAAAGAGAAGAAAAGTGAGAACAAATAAAGGAAACTCTCTCGTTCGCTGTGCGACAAATATTAAGGAAATCAAATTCAAATTGGAAAAGAAAAATCTCACCAAAAAACTAAAGGAAAAATCAACCCCCTTTCTGCAGACAATTGTAACCGAAAAAAATAAGGCAAATTTTAACGCAAAAAACTGCACAATTTCCATAAAAATACATACCCTCACAAAAGGCTGCTAAGGATTTCCGAATTCCTACTCAATAATAAAAAAAAACAGAAATTCTTGTTCTCAAAACATTTTTGCCAAAACAAAGGTATTGTAACGCATTATCTTCGAATCGGAATATTAGTTTCAAATGAAACGTTAATGTGAAAACATCAGACACACAATTAGGAAAATAGAGAACGAAGAAAAAAATAAAATAAAAGAAAATCACAAGACAAGAAGAAAAAGAATTTTTACATATTCCAAAAACAACAAAAACCAAAACATTTGTAATGAATGAAAACGAAAAATAATGAAATGATATCAAACGTTCATACAATAACAAATGGAAAACAATACGCACAAAAATAAAATTTAAATTTTGAAATGGAATAACTAAAAATAATAAAAAATAAATATTTTAAAAATACCAGAACAGAAACAAATCGTATTTTTACGTGAAAAAGTGAAACATTTTTGCCAAGTGTTTAACAAAGTGTCTCATAAAAATTTTTGAAAAATTACAAAACTATAAATTTAAATTAATACAACAATTTGGAAAAACATTTTTCATTGTGAAAATGGTTATGTCAGAGCTACGTTGGCATTCAACAACACCGGAGGATAATAATAATTCACTGAAACGTGATTTATTAAAAACACCAACCACCACACATCATCACATTATGCAAAATCGATGTAAGTTTTTTTTTGTTAAGAAATTTCAATTTGTTTTGAATAAATAAAAAAATAGGAAAAAAAATCAAAAAAAAAAAAAAAAATCAAGTGGCACTTGTCAGTGGAGAGGATGTACGGAATTTTTAGAATAATCTTCCTCCAAATTATATTTTAAAAATCCACGCTTATTGTGAGGCAGATATCCTCCAAATTATTTTTTAAAAATCCACGCTTATTGTGAGGCAGATATCCTCCAAATTATGTTTTAAAAATCCACGCTTATTGTGAGGCAGATATCCTCCAAATTATTTTTTAAAAATCCACGCTTATTGTGAGGCAGATATCCTCCAAATTATGTTTTAAAAATCCACGCTTATTGTGAGGCAGATACCCTCCAAATTATTTTTTAAAAATCCACGCTTATTGTGAGGCAGATATCCTCCAAATTATGTTTTAAAAATCCACGCTTATTGTGAGGCAGATACCCTCCAAATTATTTTTTAAAAATCCACGCTTATTGTGAGGCAGATACCCTCCAAATTATTTTTTAAAAATCCACGCTTATTGTGAGGCAGAGACCCTCCAAAATATTCTTTAAAAATTCACACTCCTGGTAGATAAAGACCCTCCAAAATATTTTTTAAAAATCCACGCTTATTGTGAGGCAGAGACCATCTAACATATTCCTTAAAAGCCCAAGCTTACTGTGAGGCAGATACCATCTAACATATTCCTTAAAAACCCAAGCTTACTGTGAGGCAGATACCCTCCAAAATAGTTTTTAAAAATCCACGCTTAATGTGAGGCATAGACCGTCCAAAATATTCTTTAAAAATCCACGCTTAATGTGAGGCAGAGACCCTTCAAAATATTTTTAAAAAAAAACATTCTTTAAAAAAAACATTCTTTAAAAAAAACATTCTTTAAAAATCCACTCTTATTGTAAGGCAGATACACTCCAAAACATTCTTAAATAATTCACACTTCTGGTGGGTAAATATTCTTTAAAAAATCAATGCCTATTGTGGAAAAAGACCCTCCAAAATATTCTTGAAAAATGTCCACTTATGGTGGGTAAAGATCCTTAAAAATATTATTTAAAATATATTATTAAAAATAGCTCTGAGAGTACCTCAAAAATATTATTAAAAAAATGCCCGATTTTAGATCTGAAAGTGACTCAAAAATATTATTTAAAAAATCCTCGCTTCTGTTGGATAAAGATCCTCAAAATATTCTTTCAAAAATTCACACTTCTGGTGAAGATAGCCGCTCAAAATATTCTTTAAAAAAAAATCATCTTCATAGCTCCCTCAAATTTAATATAAAATAAATCCAGGCATATGGCTCTAATATCCCCTCCAAAAATATCCTTCCAAGAATCCACATTTAAAGAAGGTTCTCTAAAAAAATTCAAAATTTCACGATTTTAATAATATTAATACTTTCCGTTTTACGGCAGTCAATATTATTATTATTCATTTCCTACGAATTTTGATGATTAATCTAAAAAAAACCCACTTCAATAATACCCCGATTTTCCTCGTAGCAATTAATTTACCTATACGCATTTAATTTCATATTAATTTTGTTAATACGAAAAATTTCCATATAAGTATATTTGGTTGTACTTGAAATATTGATTCTGATATCTTGGGCAAATTGATAATAAAGTAAAAAAAATAACACTCATATTTTTTCTTCAATTCGGACAAATGACCTACATTACAATGAAATCAAAAATGATAAGAAATATGAAAAAAAAATATAAGAAGGCCTCATATCGACCATGTTAACAAAACAACGTAAATATACCATTACAAGTACACTTTTCTGTTAAATATCATTACAAAGTTTCGGACTACAACAACAACAAAAATTAATATCAATAAATAATATCAACACTCATTTTTAAATAATCAATAATATATTTATTTTCATTTGGTGGTTTTTTGTTAAAATAAAAACTCCAATTCAATGGAAAATGAAGGCAACAACAAGTGTTGACAAAAAATATTGTATTGAACGTAAAATACACGTTATAACAATAATTGTGTTAACAATCATAAATTAATCACCATTAATATATTTTTCTTTCAATAAAACACACACAAATTCTTATCAACAAAAAAAAAAAAAAAAAAAAAACTACAAAACTGAAGAGTTGAAAAAAACAGAGGGAGGAACAGTGGTTTCAGTTAAAGGAGAACTATATTTGAATTTAACTGCATAATTTGAGGAACTAAATGATTGAAAAAAAATTAATGAATAAACTAAAGGAACATCAGTGCCTTTGTCGTGGATTTAAAATGAAATATTTTTGATGGGAAACAGGAGTTTTTAAAAATTATTTCTCAAAGACTATGAGACCCATAACTGTGTTTTTTTAAGACATTTTTTTGGGTATATTAGAAAAAATTGCGAGGCTTTTTAAGAACCCTTTTAAGGAAAAAATATAAATGTATGTATTATTTTTTTTTTAGAATGATCAAGATCGATAATTTTCTGAAGGAGGATTTTTATTGCTACAGAAGCGGATTTTCTATAAAATATGTTTTAAGGTCTACAAGAGTCTTATGTGTGGATTTTTCTTCAGGCATATTTGGTAGGGATATATCAGTTTTAAAAGCGTAGATTAAAAAAAAATATTTTATTGACTTTCTGAGCCAAATAAAATGTTTCTTATGGTCCGAAAGACCATAAAAGTCAAGATCGATAATTTTCAGAAGGAGGGTTTTTATTGCTACAGAAGCGGATTTTCTATAAAATATGTTTTAAGGTCTACATGGGTCTTATGTGTGGAATTTTTTTCAGTCATTTTTGGTGGGGATATATCAGTTTTAAAAGCGTAGATTTTTTTTTAAATTATTTAAGGGAACCCCCCCCCATTCTCGATTTTTTATTTTTAAGATTTTAAATGGGCTGGTAAATGAATACCAATGCTTGTTAAGGTTTGTAACTTGGCACATATGTATTTGAAGATTTAAAAAGGAAGAAAAATAATTTACCAAAAATTTTTGTTGTTGTTTTGTTGTTGTTTTTGGGTTCAAAGAAAAGTCCATATTTTCGATGGCGGCATGATAACTCCTCACTGGAACATCGGAATCCGAAAATTCCAACTGTTTTAGAAAGAGGACATGTCTGGCTCTCGTATGAACTAGGATTATTGACTTCGCACAACAATTAACAAAATGGCGGAACTTTGAAAAAATTTTTATGGAAAATCGCCTATTTTTTACCACAAACTAAGTTAAAAAATAAGGAAGATCTTCACCGATTAGCTTTATCCTAGTTCATACGAGAGCTACACACTCCCAGAGAAACGTGTCAAAATTTGAAACCGATTGGATTATTAGTTTTTGAGTTATCGTGCCCGCCATTCGTTTTGAGAAAAACGCGTTTAAAGTTTGAGAAGCCCTTTAGCCGTCACTTGATGCCGACACAATAAATCGGCTATATCTTCAAGAGTTCTTGAGATTTTCACTTGAAATTATGTAGAGACATTCTAGAATTAGAGTAGATTCGAATTAAATCAAAAAAATTTTTGACACCGAGAATGGGGGGGTCCCCTTAATTGACTTTCTGAGCCATATAAAATATTTCTTTTATAATGATATGGAAGCCATAAGTTCGGATATTTTATGAATATATACATCCATATATATGGAATTTTATCAACGTTCTGAGGCAGACAAAATATATTTTCATGAGACACAATCAATGAGGAACGAATTTTTAGTATATTTTTGTAGGATTATTTGAAAGGGTGTTATAAAGATTTTTTATACCCTACACAACTATGTTGTCAGGGTATTTTAGTTTTGTGCAGCCCCAAGTGTTTGTAACGCCGAGAAATATTGGTCCTAAAAACACCTTTAAGTATACCGAACGTCATATCTCGACTAGCTGAGTCGATCTAGACATGTGTATCCCTCCGTACGTCCGTCTGTCCATTATAATTTGTAAACACGATACAGGCCACAGTTATGGACTAATCTTCACGAAATTTTGCATGTAGGATGGGTTCTGTCCAAGAAAGACCGCTACTGCTTTTGGTAAAGATGGGTTAATATGCTGGGGATAAAATGGACCAAATACTTTATTTTTTGTCGGTTGTTCTGGACGCTCCAGAGGCCGCAATTATGACCCAAACATCGGGAATTTTTACACGGAGAAGGGAATCGGGCCAAAGAATAAGCATTACAGTTTTGATGAAGATCGGTTAATATTTAGCGTGTCGAAAGGCACTTTTGTGTGAAAAATTAAAAAATTTGTATTCTATAGCGTATATATTTACCCCTGAAGGGCATAGACCCGAAAAGTTAATAATGTATCCAAGAGGAGTGGTTGATCTTTAAATTAATACCAATTATATTTATGTATGTACTCGGATGTGGGAGTTACACTTAAATATTTACACTTGCTTACGTATTCATATGTTATTTAGAAATCCATAACCACACTAGAGGGCGGAAATATAACGCTGATGGCTTTGATGATCCAGGTATGGTCAAGGACAACGCCTATAATTCCCGGTGATAATCAGATAAAAATTTTGGGATGAAGTGGACCGAAAAATGGATTTTTTTATGGTTTTTCGAGTCAATCTATAGGCCACAATTATAACTTGAACATCGGAACACAACCAACGGTGAAGGGAATCTGGACAAGAAATTATAAGGGCTCTACTGAATATGAGTAATATTCGGGAAATATGTCAGTGTATAGAAGAGGTGCTGTTGACGTCTAATCGGCCAAGAGGTTGAAAATATCACAAAATATTGCACAGGCTTGGAACAAACATCCGCAGAAAGTTAGTGGTTGTGTATGCCGTGGTAGTTGTGTATGGGTATCGTTTGGTCGATACCCTACACACGGGTTAATTTTTAAATTGGCATACTAGAGGGCGGAAATGTAGCTCCGATGGCTAGCATTAGATCAAGGACGACGACTATAATTTTCGATGATAATCAGATGATATTTCGGGGATGAAATTAACGGGAAACTGTATTTTTGTCTGA